CATGAGGTACATGATACGGTTGTCAAAGGGAAGTACACCAAATGTCAAAACAAATGTTTTTCCAAGTGTTTTATTGAATTATTCGCATGTATTGTAATAAAATGGACAAAAATATTGACAGTGAGAACTATTAAGTATAATAAAAATTCGTCGCCGCAGCATTACAGGATGTGGCATTTGAAAAAGCGAAGATCGACCAAATGTAACATTGTACAGGCGCGTGTTATTTTTCTGTCTATAAATCACACAGAAGCCCAAATATCTCATGTAATTAGACATATTTAAGTAGTTTATTCATAAATCTTGCCAAGATTTGCTTTAGTTTCTTCAGCTTGCTTGTTTGTTTGTATATTTTGATGATTGTTGTTATGATTATTTTGAGATAGTGTTGTTCTTGGAAGCGTATAAACATATATTCTCTTTCCCGTTACGAAGTCAAGAAAAAACTGACAGCTTTGTTACAATGCCACGACTACGATTCCACAGAATCGCTGTTAAAGTAATTTCACTTATCTATAAATAATCAACTAGATTAGATTGTGTAATTTCATTTAAACTTATTTGTTATTCGGCTCTCCTATGTTAAGACCCTATACGCATTCAAAAGCAAAAATTAAGACGCACCTTTCATACAGCTCACATTCACACACTACATGTCCGAATCAGTACCATTCACAACACATTTAACACACACTCTCCACTTTTACATACACACCGCCAACTACACAGCATAGATTAATCTATAAACTTAATTAACCTACTCTTTAAATGTTGTTTCTTTGTTAAATTTCATTTTATTTTCTTCTTAGTCCCAAAAGAACAGTCTTATTGTACTAGTTTTGGGACTACAGAGTTTTATTTAGTTTACTTTTAAGCCATTTGTTTGTTACAACTAAGATTGATGCTTTCCCGCCGTGGTGGCAGCAGTACTATCCGCTAACACAGGTTGAATCCTTTTGTGGGGTCTGGATGTTGCCTAGCTGGTTAGCAACCAATCAATTACTTAAAACATATTACTGTAATTATTTTTATAATATTTGTAATGGCTATAAATAAAGTTATTATTATTATTATTATTATTAGCGTACTTATTATCGCTATTTTGCTATTAGAATAATTCATTACGAGGTTTTTATTATTATTGTTTTTACTATTTCAAGTTTACCTACAAATCAAAAAAGACAAAAGAATGGTTACAAATCAAGCCGCCGTGTAATAGTGCCGAATATAAACATTGAATCAAAGACCATTTTCATTTATTCGCTTCATTTTGAAGAGTCAAATTTTAACATAACGTTGAATGTAACTAGATTACATGATAATGCAATTCCATCATTAGATGTATTGGTGAATATTTTTATATTTAATTTAGATTAAACAAGACTCATTTACTAGGCATTCTCAGTTCCTGAAAACCAAATTATGCACTCATTTCCGATTTTTTCCCAATGACAACTCTAATTACTAAAAATTCTAATTTTATAAATCCAGCAATACAATGACCATGTTGGTACAACGTTGCCGGGTGAAGGCCAATACCAACGTATAGACAGACAGCCTATTTGCTTTGCCTTGCCTTGCCATCGTTCGGTGTCACTCGCCTAGCTGACCAAGTGAAGGCGAGCGCTAACGTGTTCGTTTGACGTGGCTTGTCACAACTTGCAGTCACTCGTGACTACTTGTCTCACGTTGTAGAAGTGTTGATTTTTCTGTACAAATCAAAGGCGCTCGGCCAATAATTATACCATGTTTTAAGCAAATAAACGTATGATAATAATATTATTATTGATAATATTACTACTTTCATTTATTTCCAAAATTAAATGGAAGTATTAAAGATTTACTTAAATCGATCACTGATATTAATTCTATACCCAATGCATTAAGACAAAAAAGCCTATACTATTTGGAATCTGTTTAAAAATTTATCTATGAAAATATTAATCTTAAGGTTGGAAATGTATAGGAGTTATATTTCAAAGTTTTCTCTTTTTTATCTACTCTCAAATTATATTTTTTCTCTGCAAATTCACTTTTCATAATATTTGAGTATTTGTAAACGCAAAACAATAAATTCAAAATTTCATGTGACAGTCCCGGATATTCCCATATAACCTAAAATATTCCCAAATGGAATATTGATCTACTTTAATTAACTGTTTGCATGTCGATAATGACTTGTCGATAGATTATGGCACGACACTAAAGAAATTCGCCGTGTTTTCGTTCAATTTTTGTTTAGGTATGCACGTTCATTTCGTAGTTAGTTTTTTTTTCCATCATCTAAGCCTTAGACTATTTTTTTCCATCCTCTAAGTCTTAGATTAGATAATGATAGTTGATTTCGTCATTCTTTCTGTAAAGGAAATGGCAAAGGTTTAAAACCATACAGCCAGGTCTTAGTGATTTTTTCTTTTCTTAGTTGCAGATAAATAGGTAAACGCCAAGTTTTCAGCCCATTATTTACTGTACAGAAATTAAGCCTCATCATATCAGAGTGGAGTCAATTCAGTGAATACGTCAAAATTTCAATGATTGCAACTCTCCAATCCAAATCCATTCTAAAGATCTTTTATAGTAGAACCGATAAAGTTATAAATATAAATGTAAGTTTCAACGTTCTTGAGAAGCTCTTTAGTACCGCGCGGGATCAGAGTCGAAGGGTGGTAAAATAGAGAGGAACTCCGATGAGTGACGCCGGAAAAAAAGTGATCAAGGAGTACGCGATCACAACCGATACTTTTGACAATTCCACAGACTTTTTCTTGGAATTTATTGTACTTACTTTGATTGAATGGGCACTTCGCACTTGTGTTTGTGTCACAGTTCACAAAAAGCTAAGAAATTTGAAGTGGAAACAAAACCTGGTAAAGGTACTTAAAACTTTGACTTACAAAACGAAACGAAACGAAACGAAAATAAATAATAATAAAAAGTTGTACAAATGAATGAAGTAAAGTGGAAAACCAGGATGGTGTATCATATTTTTAACCGACTTCAAAAAAAAGGAGAAGGTTTTCAAATCGACTGTGTTTTATTTGTTACGCGATAACTCCGGCGGCATTTGTGAACCAATTTTCATGATTCTTTTTTTGAGGGTACCTCAGTATTAGTCCCATTTAAAATCGTAGGAAATATTTTACCTCTAAGGGTGGTGAACTAGGGGATGAAACCGGGGTCGCGCACTTTGCAGTAATAGATTGCAATAAAATTTGACCAATAGGTGTAATTCCACGAACTTTCTGGGGACGGTTTTTTTTACATAAAAGTTACAATTATCAGTCAAAGTCAAAGTTAAATAATCATTTATTCCATAGGTAAAATTTTTACACTTAAAAACGTCATTTTTTAAGCTACTGCTCGTTCACTATGTTCACCTCCCTGAGAAGAACAAGCAAGAAACTCTACGGATTGCTATTTTCAAAAAAACTTAAGTGCTATAGTATACATTTGAATCATATTTGTGTGGAATCTAGACTCACATTGTCTTTCCATACATCTTTATCTAACATCGACAATTTTGTAATATGACTTTTCAATTAAAACATTTTAATGTAAGTCTTAAACTTAGGAAATGGTAAATTTAATATACGCTCCGGAATCTTATTGTAAATACGTATACAGTTCCCCATAAAATAATCGTTTACCTTAGTGACTACGAAAACGTGGTAGCATGAGCTTGGACTTAGTACTAAGGTTAATATTATGGATATCCTCTTCCTTAATGAAGTTATGAATATTTTTAACGGGCATATAAAATATTTGAGTAAATGTACTGTGATGCCACAGTCATGACACCAGTCTCCTTAAACTTTTCTCTGAGAGAGGCCCGAGAGCCTAGACTATGTGTAGTGTAGTATGTATAGTATAGTATAGTATGTATGTGTAGTGTATGCAAAAACAAGCGATTCGTTCTGTGGAACGAATCGCTTGTTTTTGCATCACAAATGTGGTTTGAATATCTGCCGCTTTACCCCACATAAGAATCCCGTAGGACATTATACTATGGAAGTAACTAAAGTAAACTAGTCGACAAACTAGCAGTAGCAACATCGGTAAGTTCACGTATTCTACGGACTGCGTATCCAGCAGAGCTTAATCTGCTATCCAAGGAAGATACACGTGGACAGTAAGTAGTAATGACCTTATTTATCTATTATTAGAAATATTACAAAGGTTAGTTTTTGAATTTGCCTTACCGGTAAATACTACACGAATAATTTATTGTTCTTTTCCACCATTATTATTATTATTATACTGTTAGGAACGTCTCTGCACGACCTGTCAACCGATTGTCACAGCTGCCTACCTGTCAGCACCGAATATTATATAAAGCAAATGCAAATTAAGGGGAATCTTCCAAGTAGACATAGAAATGAGACTCCAGTGATTGTTATAAATTATATTATAAGATCTTTCACTATAAATCCAAACGAAACAAACC